CACCTGCTGCAGTGGGGAGGGGCCTGGGACTGAAAGATTCAGCAAAGAGTCAAACTCACAAGCTCAGTCTCAGTGGGCAGCGACGGCACAAATACCCCAGCGGGCTGGGCCTGTCTGGGGCCAGGAGAGCTGGGTGTCACCCTCCAGGGAACAGGACGTGCCCCCCGTTTACAGACGGTATTGTCCTGTGCACAGAGAGGGGGCAGCCACATTTCCATCTCCTTGCCCAGGCCTGGCGTCTGGAGCCCTAACTTCATTCTACCAGAGCGGGTGGCATTTAATTCCTGTTGCTGGTGGGGATGTTTGGGGGGGAGCTAGTAGCAGCCCCCCGTGTAATGATCAGACAGTCTTTCCTTTGGGCTCCACCCACCTCCACTGTGCAGCGGGGCTTTGATCTGCCCTCAGCTGCAGAATTGGATTTTCTTTGCTCCATCCCATCCCATCCCATCCGAGTCCGAGTAGCTGAGACACAAGCCCCTGGTTTCCCGCCGCTCCTAACACATCTGCAAAGGCACCACAGAGCCCCTTGGAAATCCCAGAGCATGTCTGCAGCCTGCCGGGGGCTGTGGGGCACAGGCTGAAAACTCCTGTCCTGCGGGAACCACTCCCTGTTCTCCCGTGCTCATCTTCCCGCCAGACTGTCCCTGAGCAGGACCTTTCCCAGGCGCCAGGCTCACACTGCCCCCACAAAGCCGCAGCGCCAGCGCCTGTTCTGGGAGCTTCTCTAGCCAGAGAAGGGGGCTTCCCTCACTGGGCATGGCCCTTGGGTCCGACTGCCCATGGCAGCTCTGGGGGTATGTCTACACTACAGCGCTAATTCGAACTAACTTAATTTGAATTAGTTAATTTGAACTAAGCTAATTCGAACTAGTGCATCTAGACCTAAAAACTAGTTCGAACTAGCATTTTGCTACTACAGACACCTACCCAGGCAGAAGAGGACGAGGCTTTTTTTAAACTATCAAAATCATCCAACGCGCAGGATCTGGTGGTGACGGGGGAATTCAACTGTCCAGACGTGTTGGGAAACACAGCGCACAGACTATCCAATAAGTTCTTGGACAACACTGAAGACAAATTTTTATTTCAGAAAGTTGAAAAAGCTACTGGGGGACGCTGTTCTAGATTTGATTTTAACAA